ATGTGAGTCTCTTGCTTTAGAATGGAAATGTTGGTACTTTGGGTTCTCACTGAAACAGTGTGTTCAAAACCATTGAAGAACCTGTTTGTACAGTGGCATCTATTTCTTGTTGTCTGTGTTATGTTATTTAACCCTTGTAAGATGGCATTAACTGTACTTTTAATATTGTTTTAACTAATAACAATAATAGGCTTTCCTACCATTTTCTGTTACCTTCAAGAATAGTTTTGAATTTTATGTTTTGGTAGGAAGTTAAGAGTTCAGAGATGGAAATTATACTTTTGGACATTTCTGAGACTTGTGCAGGACTAATGGATAATCCTCTAATGCTTTTTTTATGTTTCTCATTAGTATGTATGTGTCACTATACATATATATGTATATACAGCTTCACATGTGCTTCAAAAGCTTAAGCAAATTCAAAACAAATGGGGGCTATGAGGTTTAAGAGTGTTGTCAATTCCTGATAACCTTTTAAAATAGAAATTAGATGTATAAATTATTCAAGTTTTTCTACCATTTGCTTCTTTTCTTACTTATAGATCTAAGATTATAAACCTCAAAGCCTTACAGGTGTCTTACCTTCTTTCAGTCCACAGTGCTCAGATACTGAGAACCATTGAAATCATGCATAAGTTTTATTTTATTTATGGTGTCACACTGAATGTGTTCATTTTCCTTAATATTTTATTTGAAAATTCATGTATTAGTTAATAATTACTTGAAAATATAATTTTAAAATTATGTAATTAAAAATTATATACTGTGTAATTTACACCTACACACAGATGTAGCTTACTTTAATACACAAGGACACATTTTGGCCAGTGTTTCACTGCAGAATGATACCCAAAACTGCCACTGTTTTTATAGCTACCATCCTCTCCTTTTAAATTTATACAATCCATTTTTAGATTTTAAGATCTTAAAGAGCATCTGAAATTATCTCTCAAAGCTGGAGGCATGGCTGAAGTGGTAGATCACCTGCCCAGCAAGCACAAGGCCCTGAGTTCAAACCAGTGTACCACCAAAAAACCAAAACAAAACCAACCCCATCTTAAATGGTGATGAATTATGTTTTTCCATTATAAACTGATTTTCAAGTCAAGGCGTATGCCAGAAAATAAGTTTGCAGTAGCACTAGATTACTTTCAGTGGCTCATTTTTTAGGAGTATAGACATTGAGGGAATATTTTAGGCAGCTGAAAGTGACTATCAGCCTAAGAATACAGTCTTGGTTTTTTTTCTTGTTACTTTTACCTTATGGTGTTTTTGTTGATTATTAGGAATGTAAACTAATTTTAGAAATATGTAAACTAAGTTTAGAGACCTAATAGGAGAGATCATAGTTCAGTAGTGTTTAAGATTACTTTGAAGAGATTAAACTGAATGCAGTTCTGTGTTTCCTTGTATGTGCTTTAATGAGTACCTTTAGTTTTAAGGGCAGCTTATACTTTTCTCACAATCTAGTGGAAGAAGCAAAATTTTGAAAACTCAGCAAGTGATAAATTTAAAAAAAAATAAAATAGTACCTGAATTGGCTGTGGCCTTGCAAACAACTTTCAATAGAACCTCTTATTTAGACTAGATAGCTCAGATTTCTTCCCACATGCCATCTGCTGTCTCTTTCTGACCCCATTATCTGTCTGAGTAAACTCTAAATAGGTACCGGATGTGTGTTACTTTCAAAGAAAATGAACTTTCTTTGGTTAATGTCAGATATGATATGGTTGGTACAGGTTTTGGAAAATGTGTTTTCAGGTTGCATCTGGAGGTGGTGGGATTGGAGATGGTGGTCAAGAACCAACAACAGGCAATTGGAGAGGAATGCTGAAAACTTCAAAAGCTGAAGAGCTATTAGCTGAAGAAAAATCAAAACCAATTCCAATTATGCCAGCTAGTCCACAAAAAGGTCATGCTGTCAATCTGCTGGATGTGGTAAGCCATGAGAATTTGGTTTAAACCTAGTAAGATGACCAAATTAGTAGGGAAACACTTCAAAGACAAAAGGAACTAACAGTCTCAAAAACTTACTTAACTTTTGAATGTTAAATGCTGCCATTTCAAAATGTTTCCCTCTCACTCCATTTAGCCAGTTCCTGTTGCACGAAAACTGTCTGCCCGTGAACAGCGAGATTGTGAGGTTATTGAACGACTCATCAAATCATATTTTCTTATTGTCAGAAAGAATATTCAAGACAGGTTAGTATTATATAATATAGACAACAGCGTAATATTGCTGGATGAGTCTATGATCTGTTTTGAAAGTACATGTATTTTAAATCAGATGCATTCTCTTGGTAGCCACTGGGTCACTGTGTTAACAGAATTACTAGACCTCATGTATCAGTGAGAAAAAGCTATTAAAAAATGAGAGGGCTTGGAGATATGCATGAGGCCTTGGATTAATCCACAGCACTGTGGGGAGGAGGAGTTATTCTTTTGTTTCATCTGCTTGCCACATTTTACTTGTTATTTAAGAAAATGGGTAGCCAGGCATTGTGACACATAGCTTCTTGGGAGGCAGAGGTAAGAGGATCATGGTCTAAGGCCAGACCAGGCAAAGTTAGTATGAGACCCTACCAAAAAACTAAAAAGCAAAAGGACTGAGGGTGTGGCTCAAGTGGTAAGAGTGCTTACCTATCAAGTGTGAGGCCCTGAGTTCAACTGCCAGTACTGAAAAAAAAAAAATTATTTTTGTTTTAAGACAGGATTGTTGGCTTTGTAAGCAAGGATCTCATTATGTAGCTGAGGCTGGTCTTATTCCTGTGATCCTCCTGCTTTAGCCTCCTGAATGCTGGGATTACAAGCATGTGCCACTGGTGGTTTTTCAAATTTTAATTTGGTAGTTTTAATTATTTTTGCTTGCCTTTTTACTTACTTAACTTGGTTCTCTGAAATATCAAAATACATGTCTTTTTATGTCTGCTAATTCATATTGACCGTGGTATTATTTCATGCAGTGATAGGAAGAAAAATTTAGCTGTGTAAAGTGATTTATTAGAAAATAGTCTTTTATCTAATTTGTGGTAACCTGCTAGCAGGTAAGAGAAATTTTATTGCACAGAGAAAAAGCCAGATACTCTTGATACCTCACATTGAAAGTAATGTTTTTGTCTGTATAATCACTTATCTTTTTATCCCCAAAATCTTTTAACTTACTGCTTATGGTAGAAAATAATTCTTTGTGTTTTATACTACAGTCTGAACAAAAACTTAGCTTTTCTCTCTAAAGAGGTTTTTTTTTTTTTTGTTTGTGACATAATTCAAGTAGCATAGAATCATAAAATTTGCTGTTTTAAGTGTAATTTGTAGTTGGTACAATGCTAAACACCAATTCTATAACATCTTCATTTACTGTACTTATTCATTTGCAACTTACCAGTCACTAACCTACCAGCTCTGTGAATTTCCGCTTTGGACATTTCATATAAAAGGAACATGCTAGTATGTGGCCTTTTGTCTGGCATCTTCCATTTATCAGTGGTTTTAAAGTTTATTCATATATAGAATAAATATAAAATAAATACAGCTTGAAATCAGTACTTCAGTCCTTTTTATGAATGTATCATTTTATGTAACTGTGTCCATCAACTTACGGATGTTTGAGTTTTTTGCATTTTGGCTATTAGAATATTTGATAAGTTTTGATACATGGGATATGTTAAGTGAGATGAAAGAAGGTAAAATACCAGTAATTGTGGCTTTTAAAAATACTTGATTATGATTAAGTGAAAATTTGAAGAGTGATTATGTGATTAAAGAAATAGCCAGTGTTCTTATTACTTACCATGCCAGAATCTAAGCCCAATTTTTTTTTTTTTTTTAATTTGGCAGCACTGGGGTTTGAACTCTACTTCATGCTTTCAGACAAGACAAGGCACTCTACCACTTAAGCCATACCTCCAGCCTTCTAAGCCCAAATTTTTGAAAGAATTTTTACTAAAACTTAACTTGGTTTTGTTTTGCAGTGTGCCAAAGGCAGTAATGCATTTTTTGGTTAATCATGTGAAAGACACTCTTCAGAGTGAGTTAGTAGGACAACTGTATAAATCATCCTTATTAGATGATCTTCTCACTGAATCTGAGGATATGGCACAGCGTAGGAAAGAAGCAGCTGATATGCTAAAGGTATGGTTATAAGCTTATTTTTCTTTCAATTTTTATACTTGGGATGTATTTATATATTCAGTTTAAAATGCATTTGGATTGCTTAATGATATATCTAGTCTGTATATTTTCCTGTTGGTACTTGATTAAAATTTCTCCACATAATTCAGGTAAATGTTAGAATTTTTTTATTTCTTTAATGTAGGCATTACAAGGAGCCAGTCAGATTATTGCTGAAATCCGAGAGACTCATCTTTGGTGAAGAGAACACAGACTTTGTTGCCTCAAAACCTGCTAGTTACTGTGTACTTGAGTAGAAGTTTATTTATGAACTGTGTACTGCAATGGTATGAATCTGCTCATGTGAAGACTGGCTGGCTAGAAGCTGAAAAGTGTACTGTTCTGCATTACAGAACAAATCACACATTTAATCCAAACAATAAATGGCTGTTTCTAAAGTTTCCCAGTATATATACCAAGTCTGTCCTGTGACAGTTTCATTTGAACTTAAAGAACTGTTGATGTCCTAGTTGTACAAAGCAGTCTGCCTGTGGATAAGATGACGTGTGTAATCTTTGTTAGTAGCCTTAAAGCTGCCACCATAGTCCTTCAAGAAGGAAGCACAGAGACATTTCATATGACTACAATGCATGCACTATATAAACTGACCTGGCATTGAAAGATGTGGGTTGGCAAGTTCCTCACATAGTCACCTGTCCTTCAATTTACAGTTTTAAAAATCTTCTCTTCTGTAGCCTTTGCCGTGTTAAGAAAGCTGAATGCAGAGGCTCTTGAACACTGATAGATACAGGGTGCACACTGTGTAGTTACATGGCCCTTCCACTTCTGGGTCCATGTTTTCCTAGTGCATTAAGAAAAAAAACTCTGAACTTGATTATTTAGTAAGATTTGGTAATGATGGCCAGTTCCTTCTAGTTTTAAGAGATCCAGTGATGAACTAAATTTCCTTTAGTTTGTAAATTAAGATATTACCTAAATGGAGTACTTATATCAGGCACCTAAAATGGAGCACTTATATCAGGCACCAAGACTGGCTTTGAAGTAAGAATTAGAAATCAATTTACTCTTTATAAATATTAGTTGGTAACAGCTACTTTCACTGCATACCACCCAACATTAGTTTAGTGGTGTGAAAATAAAGAAAAACATCTGGATACACATATACTCCTAAAGCTTATGAACTATTAAACTCTATCAGAAGATAGGGTGAGGTTCACAACATGTATCTTGTACACACACAGGCTGGTGGAGTGGCTAAAGTGGTGGAACGCTTAGTTGAGGATCTGAGTCCAACTCCCCAGTACTTCCAATAACAACAAAAAAGCTGAGCGCCGGTAGCTCACGCCTGTAATCCTAGCTACTCAGGAGGCAGAGAGAAGATCACAGTTCAAAGCCAGCCTAGGCAAATAGTTCATGAGACCCTATCTTGAAAAAAAAAAAAAAACCCATCACAAAAAGAAGGGCTGGTGGAAGTATGGAAGACGGGAAAAAAAAAAAAAAGCTCAGGCAATTCTTGGTAGATGCTACACTAAAACTCAAAGATATAGGTAGAAATCCATCTCTTAATAGATAACACGTTAAGTCAATTATGTATTACAAATATTAAAACATTTTTTTCAGGTTATAGCCAGGTATTTATGAAGGACTATTGGCAGGGAAAATATGAATAAGTTAGCTTATGTTACCCATGTACTAAGAAACAAGTCCCATGATCTTAAACATAAAAAGCCCCAAATCAGTCTGATATGATACAGTACTATTCTGCACATTGCCAAAATCACTTTGTCATCAAACATCAGTTTTGAAATTACAACCATCCATGCTTTACTTTTTTCAGAAGGACCAGATGACCACCATTGTAGCTTTTGAATTTATAAGAGAAAAATTATAACATATGTCTTCAGCATATCACAGATCTCAAACTGAAAACATTAGCTTTAAAAACATGCTATGATAATGCACTTGCTAGGTACTACACACTTTGTACAAAAAAAATGGAAGCAAGAAGCTTATAGAGAAAGCCTTCCTTTGTTGGCTTATAAGCTGAGTGAAGTTCTGAAATGTGGAGATGACCTCTTGCATATTTATAATAGGTACCTGTATGTTTTTGCTATGTAAATAAAATTGCTGGTATGAAATGACATTAAAGTTTGTCAATAAATGAATTCCTTCCTAACTTGCCTCAGAGAAAGGTTTAAATAAACTACAGCTTTAAATACCTAAATCTATTTCAGAACCTACCAGTTCAGCTTATACTGTACAAAAAGTTTTATGCTGCTTTTCTATTAAGAGTCTCACAAAGCTGGCAGAGTGGCTCAAGTGGTAGGGGGCCTGCCTAGCAAGTGTGAGGCCTTGAGTTCAAACCCCAGTATCAAAAAAAAAAAAAAAAAAAAAGAAAAGTCTCACAATTCACTGCATTTCTGCATCTGAAGACAGTCCTGGTAGTAAAAAGCTAGAATTTGAACACTAAAGCTGGAATTTGAACACTTTGTTGCCGGTAAGGTTTTCAGAAAACTGATGTACCATTTTGTATGTTTCACTTGATCCTCAGGGAAATAGTGGTACTACAACTTTATTTTTCAGATGTGAAAACAGTTCTGGAAAATTAACTTGCCTAATACATGTGGAGCTGAACAAAATTAATTCCAAATCCTTTGAAGTTTGACTTGAAAACTTACCTGGATCTCTTCTGGTATTTCATAATTGCAAATTTGGTGAAATATTTATATTTCCTTGGCTCCTTTTTAGTTTATCTGTTACAATCTGCTTGGAGCAAAAGTTGAAACTAATTTCAAGTTTTTGAACATACATATAAAACAATGTTACTGTAGGAGTCCACTGACAAAGTAAGGCTCTGAGTAAAAAGAGTGACACTGAAATAATAGGCAAGGGCCTGAAACTGAATTAGAAACTTTGTGAAAAGTACTGATTTTTGCTCTTTTCTTTAAAAAGTAACTGTCACTGTAATTTCTAATGGCAACTCTGTCCTCACCTAACTTCTCTTTTTTCTAAGAAGTATTTGCAGGGTTGGGGGTGTGCTCAACTGGTACAGTGCCTGCCTAGAGAGGCCCTGAATTCAAACCCCAGTACTCCCCGCCCCCCCACCCCCCGCCCAAAACAAAACAAACACATTCTAATAGATTTCCCGTTTCTGATACGAAACAACTAGTTTTATAAGAACTCTAACACTAGTGAAGTCGGTGCATGTACTAAGTATCCACAATTCCTATTGCTGTCTTTTTTTCAATGTTCTTCCTCATCACTCCAACAAGGAGAACCAAGAAGGGTAGGACAGAAAAAACACCTTTGTTCTTTCATGAAATAGAATTTTTAAGAGATTTATCCTGGAAATCATGGTTTTCTATGGTAGTAAATGTCTGGGCCAGGAAATAAAACATCATCAAATAAATATGTTTATTAACAAACCCATAAAAATAAGTTACTCACATTGTGAGGCCTACTGTATTCTCCAGTCTCTGTTTTCATTCTGAAGTCAACTTTTCATATTTTGAGAATGAATAATGGGTAAGTTTGTTTGAACAACCAAAAGAATTTTTCATAACTGAAGCCATTTTATAATGTAGAAATTCCTTTTACCTATTTTAAGTAAGGAAAGTCCATTCTTGAGAATATGTTGTCCAACAACTAAAACACTCTCAGGATTTGTTACTGGTCTGTGATTTATACTGACTCCGCCTTCTGTTATCATCCGATACCTAAAAGCAGAAATGTTTAGTAACTACAGAGATTAACTCACCCTTCCATCTCTCCCCAAAAAGATTGTTACTTCACTTAAATTTCAAAGGCTTCCAACTGAAACTATGTAGCCTGGAGTTTTTACCTTTATGTTTACTATTAATTAGATTTTTGCCTCCCTTTAATATTCTTCCAAAGGTAAGGCATAATAAGAAGGTTTCTTGTTAAGTGGAGAAAAAGAGCTGGGGTTATCTCATAACTTCAACTGGTAGTGGCTTTAGAAATGAAGATGAATAGGAATAAAGGAGGTTCATTATCTCAGATGGGAAAAATGAGTCACAGAAAACAAACAGGTAAAAATAAGAGAACAATGTAACTTTTGTAGTACACTATCCATGAGACATAAGTAACAATTAGAGTATTACCTGCTGAAATGGAAACTGGATTATGAAACTAGAAAATCTTTACAAATTATTACATTCGGAGACTGCAAATAATAGCAAATTGTTTAAAGGAAAAACCTAGCTGATTTCAGAAATGGAAAATCAGCAACTGGTTTGATAAATTCTAGATTACTCACCAAAATTGCTGATAACATGAGCAAAGGAAGTTTTATATTTATCATGCAATTCATTCCATGAGCACTTAGTTTATACTACACCTAAATATAAATAGCATCATAAACATGCAGAGATAAACATAAATGGACAATGATGACACACTGACATCCAGCACTATTATGAAATGCTATGAAGACATGGAAGTTGGTCTAGGAACACACAGACAAGGAGGTGGGGCTGGAAATTTTCCTGAAAGAAGGAGTAACTAAACTGACTAGAAGAATGAGTGGCCGCAAACGTGGCACAGAAAGGAAATAGCAAGGGTCTGGGAAGTCCTTGTGAAAGACAAATGTTGGTTTTCTCTTACCTGAGTGTGTTACTGAAATAAAAATTAAGAACCACTGAACACAGCTTTATAAAACCTACCAAAAACAAAAGACTTCCTACTTAAGGAGAGATTTTGATTTTAAGGATGTATTATTTTGGCTGTTAAGGCTCCAGATCATGTTCTATATTTTGTATACAAACACAGATCAACCCTATTTAGCTTATATAACATAAACAGTAAAAAAATATGAGTACTACTCATTACTTGTCAGAACTCTGGCTAAATCTGGGTTATCTAAGTAGGGGTAAAACTTCCACTGTTGGCAAACACACCATAACAAAATACAGAAGGAAATAAAAACTGCTTCCACAGTGAAGAAAATTCTTAAAACCAGTGCCTCACTGCTGGGAAGTACGTATTAGACAAACCAGTGGTACCAAGCCATCAATTAAGTGGAGTCTGCAAAGGGAGACGATAGTGCTTCCTCCACACAGAGAAATCTAGGACTTTTTATTACAGAGGTGAATAATCCAAAATAATTGAAAGAGAACAGCAATTATAAAATAAATGTCATTCCTAGCAACAACTATGGGCAGAGGACTATATAACTTATGATCAAACTCCTGTAGATGAGGAGTCTTTTGGCTACTGCTTTCCTTGTATATATCACACTGTTCAGTTAAAAATGGACAAACATCAATTATATGCCAAATGACTTCTTGTGAAACAGAGTATTATTAGTCAGTCCCTAATAACAGGACATAATTGAGAAATTATTTCCCGAATAAGAAAAACGCAGTTCCTGAGGGGAAATAGTTTATGAAGTTATATCATGCTCACTTCATTTTTGAGAAATTTAACTAAAATTTTAAGTAGATTGGGTAACTACTTCTGTCCCCTCAAATACAGACAAAGTGACTAATACTAGTTTACTTACTGAATGAGGTGGTCCCTCAAATATGACTTCCAATGCTGGAGGGAAAACTGACCAAATTTACAAGAAACAGCAGAGGGTACTAGTGTGGTTTATAGACAGTTTAAGACATTTTCAACATCCGCGCCACCTGACACCAGCTCCCAGACCGCTTGGGAAGATGCAGATCACAAGGTGAGCTAAGCAGCACGCAGTACTCCCACAGACAACCCTGGGCCAGATCAACACAGCCCCCTGGACAGACTGACCCCCACCCAGGGAAAAAAGAAAAAAAAACCAAACTGAATAATAAGCAACAACAAAAAAGACACACAGCAAAGAGGGCGGGGTGCCCTGAGCACTGAAGAGTGGGGGAGGGACAATCCCTCACGGAACTGTAAATAAACAGGCCAGCTGGAGAAGGCAGGAGCAGCAGCACACGCCCAGCAAACAGGAGTGGGAAAGCTTGTAAAAGTGGCGGTGTGAGGAAAACTCCACAGGAGAGGCGGAAAGGGCCACTTCTCATGTGAACTGTAAATAAACATGTCGGTGTGAGAAAGCTGGTGCAGTGTCACCTCCCCCAGTGTGCTTGGAAAGGGGAAAGCTTGTAAAAGTGGCAGTCATGCCCAGGAGAACTTTAAGTAAACAAAACCTGAGAGGCCAGGTGAGTGTTAAGCTCACTCCTAATATCTGCATAAATAAAGCCTCCAGCAACAGCAGGCTGACAGCAGCGGGCAGGTGAGCTGTGGCCTCAGCTAGCCATTCACAGAACTGTCTCCAGACTCTTTTTTTTTTTTCTTTCTTCCTTTGATGAGACAACCGAGCTACACCAGCATGCTGAAAAACTTACTGAAACTGTATTGCATTTGAACTTGGGACAATTTGTGGAGTTTTTTTTTTTTTGTCTTTTTCCCCATTTGATGACACAACGACAGAACTACTTCTGAGACACCATCTCCAGGACTGGAGGCTGAGGGACTACCACCAAAATTATTAAGACTGAAACTTTATTGCATTTGAACTTGGAGATTTTTTTTTTCAATCCTCTGTCTCGCTAATGCCTGTTTAGCTTACTGTTGATTAGTACACTATTTCTCCCTGTTTATATCTTTGAAACTTTTTGTTTTGTTTTTTTTACGTGTTTGTTTTTCCCTTTTTCTTTGCCTCCTTTGCATTCCCTCTCCTCTCACCCTTCCATTCTAAATATCACCACTGTTAGTATTACAAGCTAGAAAAGAAACTGTCAAATATCCCTATTTGCAGACGATATGATCCTATACCTTAAAGACCCAAAAACTCTACTCAAAAGCTCTAGACACCATCAGTAGCTATAGCAAGGTAGGAGGATATAAAATCAACATAGAAAAATCATTAGCATTTCTACACACTAATAATGAACAAACTGAAAAAGAACTTAGGAAAACAATTCTATTTACAGTAGCCTCAAAAAAAATCAAATACCTAGGTGCAAACTTAACAAAGGATGTGAACGACCTTTACAAGGAAAACTATAAACTTCTGAAGAAAGAGATTGAGGAAGACTATAGAAAGTGGAGAGATCTCCCATGCTCATGGATTGGTAGAAACAACATAGTAAAAATGTCTATACTCCCAAAGTAATCTACATGTTTAATGCAATTCCCATCAAAATTCCAATGACATCATTAAAAAGATTGAAAAATACTGTGAAATTTATATGGAAACACAAGAGGCCACGAATAGCCAAGGCAATACTCAGCAAAAGAACAATGCTGCAGGTATCATGATACCCGACTTCAAACTATATTACAAAGCAATAGCAATAAAAAGCATAGTACCGGCACAAAAACAGACATGAAGATCAGTGGAACAGAACAGAGGACCCAGATATGAAGCCACACAACTATAACCAACTTGTCTTTGACAAAGGTGCTAAAAATATACATGGAGAAAAGACAGCCTCTTCAACAAAAACTGCTGGGAAAATGGTTAGCAGTCTGCAAAAAACTGAAACTAGATCCATGTATATCACTCATACCAATATTAACTCAAAATGGATCACGGATCTTAATATCAGACCACAAACTCTAAAGTTGGTACAGGAAAGAGTAGGAAATACTCTGGAGTTAGTAGGTATAGAAGAACTTTCTCAACGAAACCCCAGCAGCACAGCAACTAAGAGATAGCATAGATAAATGGGACCTCAAAAAACTAAAAAGCTTCTGTTCATCAAAAGAAATGGTCTCTAAACTGAAGAGAACACCCACAGAGTGGGAGAAAATATTTGCCAGCTACACATCAGACAAAGGACTGATAACCAGAATATATAGGGAACTTAAAAAACTAAATTCTCCCAAATAATGAACCAATAAAGAAATGGCAAGTGAACTAAACAGAACTTTCTCAAAAGAAGAAATTCAAATGGCCAAAAAACACATGAAAAAATGCTCACCATCTCTAGCAATAAAGGAAATGCAAATTAAACACACTAAGATTCCATCACCCTGTTAGAATAGCCATCATTAGCAACACCACTAACAACAGGTGTTGGTGAGGATGTGGGGAAAAAGGAACCCTCTTACACTGCTGGTGGGAATGTAAACTAGTACAACCACTCTGGAAAAAAATTTGGAGGCTACTTAAAAAGCTAAACATTGATCTACCATATGATCCAGCAATACCACTCTTGGGGATATACCCAAAAGACTGTGACACAGGTTACTCCAGAGGCACCTGCACACCCATGTTTATTGCAGCACTATTCACAATAGCCAAGTTATGGAAACAGCCAAGATGCCCCACTGATGAATGGATTAAGAAAATGTGGTATCTATACACAATGGAATTTTATGCAGCCATGAAGAAGAAATGTTATCATTTGCAGGTAAATGGATGGAATTGGAGAACATCATTCTGAGTGAGGTTAGCCTGGCCCAAAAGACCAAAAATCGTATGTTCTCTCATATGTGGACATTAGATCAAGGGCAAACACAAGGGGATTGGACTTTGATCACACGATAAAGCGAAGCACACAGGGAGATATGAGGATAGGTAAGACACCTAAAAATAGATAGCATTTGTTGCCCTCAACGCAGAGAAACTGAAAGCAGATACTTAAAGCAACTGAGGCCAAAAGGAGAAAGGGACCAGAACTAGAGAAAAGTTAGTTCAAGAAGAATTAACCTAGAAGTTAACACACATGCACAGGAAATTAATGCATGTCAATCCCTGGATAGCTATCCTTACCAACTAGTAAAAACCCTTGGTCCTTCCTATTATTGCTTTACTCTCTCTCCAACAAAATTAGAGATAAGGGCAAAATAGTTTCTGTCGGGTAGCAGGGGTAAGGGAAGGGGTTGTGGGAAGGGGGAGAAATGACCCAAACATTGTATGCACATATGAATAAAATAAAAATTAAAAAAAAAAGACATTTTCAACAGTAAGTCCTCTGTCTTCCTTTTATTCCTGGGGCTAACCTAACTTATGGAAGAAATAAGAAGCATTAAAGCATCATCAGGAAAGTACCCCTGGAAGCACATACTATAAATTAATTGTGAATCAAAAAGTTAAATCATCTTTCTTACCCTCGGGGACCATCTGGAATGGCATTGGCTTTGCGACACGTATCTAGGACACTTGTTCCAGGATCAAGAACTAATTCAGAAAATGCAGCCTCTTTAAACAACTCTTTTAACTCTTGATCAGACATGACCTCCAGAGCGTCTATGCTACTATGATAAAGGGCTTGTGTGCACCTGAAAAACATTTGAAAAGCCACATTACCTAAGTGCTTCAGTAACTATGTGTTCTAATATCCATTAGCTAATTATGGAGTGTCCATTATGTTCCATACTGAAAGTTTTTGAAACATTATGTATAATTCATAAGCCTAATCAAAAAATTATCTTCCTTTTCAACAAATAGGAACCAATTTTTTTTGGGGTGGGGGGTGGTACTGGGACTTGAACTCATGGCTTCATACTTATAAGGCAGACACTCTACCACTTCAGCCACTCTGCCAGTCTTTTTTTGGTATTGGGTTTTTTTTCGAGATATGGTCTCACAAACTATTTGCCTGCAATCCTCCAGATTTCTGCCTTCTGAATAGCTAGGATTTATAGGCATGAGCCATCAGCACCCGGCAATATTGCACTTAAGGCAAATATTGACAATTCTTGTCTGTAGTGAGTGACAAGATCCTGGAACAGCACAGCTCCAGTTTTTTTCCAGTCTATCAACTAAACTTTATAAAGTGTCGATCATTCTAAAAGCCACCTCTTAGCAGAATCCAGCCCTTCTCGGCCATGAACAAGCTTTGTCACTTCTGCAGCAAGTCGTTTCTGAGGACCCCGCTTTTCTGGTTCTTTACTATGCAGCTGCATAATGTGATCAATCTCGGGAAGGGGCAGAAAAGTGAAGAGCTTCAGGTACCTTTGGGACAAGAAATGAAATGTTACATTTATATCACATACACAACTTTTTTTTTTTAATGGGGTGGGGGATACTGGGGTTTGAACTTGGGGCTTCATGCTTACTAGGAAAGCACTCTACCTCTTATGCCATGCTTCCAGCCCTTTTTGCTCTGGTTATTTTGGAGATAGGGTCTTGCTCAGTACAGCCTGGACCATCATTTTCCTGTTTTAGGCTTCCTGCTGTAGCTCAGATGACAGGCAGTACCACTACATCCAACTTTTTCTCAGTTAAGATGGAGCTTGTGAACTTTTTTTGTCTGGGCTGGCCTGAAACAGTGATCCTCCCAATCTCAGCCTCCCTAGTAGCTAGGATTACAGGCACGAACAGTAGCACCCAGCTTATATCACATACCTTTTATCTCCAGCTCCCTCACCCTTTAAAAAAGTCTACTTTTTTTTTTTCCCTTTTTTTGCAGTACTGGGGTTTGAACTCAGGTCCTCATGCTTGCTAGGCAGGTGCTCTACCATTTAAGCCATTCCACCAGCCTTCTAGGTCTATTTTTAAATACAAAAACATACACAGGCAAAATGTACTGAAAATAAATACAACACTTGTGCCTACCTTACCCAGATTGAAGATACTATTTTGACATATTTGGTTTTGATCTTTCCTTTCTAAAAGCAACAAAAAGGTATAGAAATAGATAAAGGGTCCAGCTCAGTCACATTCCCTTCCTTGGCCCCAGAAATAACCATTAATCTAAATTTGTGTGCATCCTTCCCAAGCATATTTTTATACTTTTACTTTATGTATGTACCTACAAATAAAAAGTATTGTGTAATTTAAAAACTGACCAGGCGCCAGTGCTTCATGAATGTAATCATAGCTACTTGGGAGGCAGGGATCAGGAGGATCGTGGCTAGAAGCCAACCCAGGCAAACAGTTCATGAGACCCTATCTCAAAAAAAACCAACACAAAAAAGGGCTGGTGGAGTGGATCAAGTGGTAGAGCCCCTGCCTACCATGTGTGAGGCCCTGAGTTCAAACCCCCTTACCACCAAAAAAACCAAAAACATCTGAAATAAACATGTATCTTCTTTTCTTTGGTGAAATAGGACATGTTAAAAAAAAAAAAAAAAGTTCCTTAATCACAAACATATAATGAGGCATTATAAAGCAAATCATCTATGTAATCATCTGGATTAAGCAATACAACATCACCCAAATGTATCACACCTTCAGGCCCCCTCTAAACTAATCACTACTCTGCCTTTCATGATAATCACTTCCTTGCTTCTCTTTAACTTTTAACATCTCAGTACATCTTCCTAAACAGCATCACTTAGTTTTGTTTTTTTAGAGATTAGGTCTTGCTATGTTGTCCAGACTGGCCTCGAACTCCTGGATTCAAGGGATCCTCCTGCCCCACCTCCCAAGTAGCTGGGTCCACAGGCATGTACCACTAAGCACAGCAAATATTGCCTCTTAAGATTTTGTATGAATGGACTAATACAGAACTTATTTTTGTGTTTGGCACATTAATATATATATAGGAGGTTAGCTCATGATGCTGTGTCCAGCACTCCAAGCTATAAATATCCCATAAATTTGTGGACATTTTGTGTTGTTTCTGCTTTGGGACAAATGCTAACAATAACACTGCTATGAACATTCTCCCATTTCTCTTGGTGTACGCATGCACATATCTATGCTACATATGTGCCCAGGAGTGGTTCTGATGGATCACAGCCTATGTGCATTATTTGCTTTAGCAGATACTGACAAATATTTTTTTTTAAAGCAGAGCTAAAAGTTTTTTCTCATATCTGGCACATGGTATCAACACTTGTAGTTTCACTACATTTTTATGTTCAGTCACTCTGGAGGGTATTTAATGTAACACTGTGCTATGTTGCATTTTTCTTCTCATTGTTATAGCTGAGCACTTTTTCTATATTGTGGGCCTTTTGGATAGGATCTTTGTGAAGTACCTGTTCCAGTCTGCCCATTATCCTGCTAGTTTGTCAAAAAGACAGAAATTCTTTATATCAATTTGGATACAAATTCTTTATCAGGTACATTTATTGAAAATATTTTCTCCCACTGTTAATGGTGGCTTTTGATGAGCAGATCTTAATTCTACTTTAGTCCAATTCAATCTTTTCCTTTTGTGTCCCATTTAAGAATCTTCCCCCAGCTGGGTGCTGGTGGCTCACACCCATAGCCCTAGCTACTCAGAGGCAGAGATCAGGAGGATTGTTGTTCAAGGCCAGCCAGGGCAAATAGCTTGAGAAACACAATTTCTCTAAAATACCCAACACACACAAAGAAAGGGCTGGTGGAGTGGCTGAAGCAACAAGAGTGCCTGCTTAGCAATTTCGAAGCCCTGAGTTCAAACGCCAGTACCACAAACAACAACAACAAAAAAACCCTTTCCTTATCCTAAACTCATAAAGAGACAGTCATATTTTTCTTCTAACAGTTTTTATTTTGTCTTTTATAATAGATTTAGGTCTATAAGCTACCTGGAATTGACTTTTGTGTATAGTGTAAGGTTAAATTCCGTTTCCCCCCCAACAGACATGTAATTAATCCAAGTGGTATTTACTAAAAAGACTGTTTACCCCACTCTCTGCAGTGTTGCCTTTTGTCAGTGACAAGATGATCATATATGCTAGAGTCTATCTGGATTCACTAACCTGTTCCATGATCTCTTTACTTAACCTTACATTTAAAACTTATACCTTAGCATTATTAGAATTAGTGAGTTTAGCAGGATTACTGGATACAGAAATTAACTGTATTTCTATTTAAGAACAAAATAAAAATGAGAATTTCAAAAAATATCAGTTTTGATACATCAAAACCCTAGAACTGTATCATCAAGTATGCAGGAATAAATCTAAAAGGAAAAACCTTACTATAATTTCCAGTAAGACATAATCTCTTCACTGTGTTCTTCAAAAATGTATTGGCCGGGCTGGAGGCATGGCTAAAGCTGTAGAGTTCCTGCCTAGCAAGTGCCCTAAGTTCAAACCCCAGTACCACAAAAAAAAGAAAAAAAAAGGTCTTGGCCAATTATTTATTTATTATTATTAATTTCCCTGTAAATCTTAGACTTGTCAAGCTCCACAAAAAATCCTGCTCATGTATGGTTGGGACTGCACTGGATATTTGGCTCAAACTAGAATTGATGTCTTTCTACATATTAATATGGTGTAACTCTCCATTTATGTAGCTTTCTTTATTTTGCTCAATAGCATTTTCTGATGTTTTGCAAGAAAGTCATATTTGAAATTTTTTCAAAGAATTACTCCTAGAATATTTTGATGATCTAGTAGTATCAAAATACCATCGTTGTTGCAGGCATATTTGTTTTCCCATTAAGTTATATTCTTCGAAGAGTAAAACTCAATAAAAATTAAGAAAATCACTTGTTCTTTGACACAGGATTTTGCTGTTTTCCAGGGTGGCCTGAAACTTGTGATCTTCCTGCCTCAGCCATCCAAGTAAATCGGTTACAAGCAAACACCACCCCACCCAGCTGAGAAAAATCACTTTTAAAAAGGTGTTTTATGCTACACTAAAGAAAAGAAACTTTTGCCAGGCACAGTGTCTCACACCTGTAACCCTAGCTACTTTGGAGGCAGAGAACAGGAGAACAAAAGATCAAGGACAGCCTGGGTAAAAAGTTGGTGAGACTCCATCTCGACCAACAACAACAAAAAGCTGGGCATGGTGGTGCACACCTGTCATCCCAGTGAGGTGGGATTCCGCGAGGTGGGATGAATAAACACAAGGATCGCAGTCTGGGCTGGCCTGGGCATAAAAGTGGCCCTATTTGGAAGAAAAACACAAAAAGGGCTAGAGGTATGGCTCAAGTGGTGGTAGAGCACCTGCCTCAATCACCTGAGCACAAGGTTGAGTTCAAATCTCAGTACTGCCAAAAAAAAAAAAAAAGAAAGAAACTTCAGAGTTATATCTATGAAGAAACTGAGCAGTCAGGTTTAAGATGAAAGGAGTGAAGAACCTAGAATATGCAAGCAATAAAATCCTAAGTATTTGCTGGATATTAAAAAAAAAAAAAACTTGGCTGTATGTTTTCTAGCCAACCACTGCAGTTTTCTATTTTAACCAAGAAAAAGCATCTAGAACACTGTGATGTAATGGTTTGTACCTTACGTAAAATCTAAGTTAAAAAAACGACAAAGGGTACATAGATTCAATGGCTAAAACTGTATCATGAGCTTATGACATTAATTTTTCTCAGTCAACTCTTAAGAACTCACCTTTCCACAGAATCATCTTGCTGTCTGACAAAGAATTGATACAATTCAAATGGAGACGTTCTGTCTCTGTTTAGCCATACAGCATTGCCGCCGACTTTCCCAGCTTTGCTCCAGTTGTACTTGTAATTAGAGGGACAGTGATTCCAAAAACGTCTTCTCCAGCAGCCTACGCACAAAAAACATCATGATACGCTTCAAGCACAAGTAGGGGTAGGTTCCACTCCCTGCAGATTTCAATCTGGTTACTTGCTACAAGAAAACTTTTTGTAGGAATCCTAAATCGGGATTCCTGTCCGTTTCATGCACTGTTACAGCACCACCATGTATCTACATTTGTCGTCCGGAACTGCGACTACAGGAGTGGCTGTAGGCAAGCCAAAGGGAAGTGACTCTGAAGGTTCAGATGGAAAAGGAGAGAAACCTAGGAAAAGGGCGAGCCAGACACACTAAAGGGGTTGCAGAGTGGCTCAGCTTGTAGAGTGTCTGTCTGCCTAGCCAACGTGCAGGTCTTGAGTGCAAATCCACTGCTGCCACATAAAAAAAATCTTTTAATATTTTCAAAAGCGAGTTTTGCTCCGGAACACAGAAAATGCCATTAAAATCTACATTACTTGTCAAATATTTAGAGTTGCAAAACATTTGAGATGCCAAAAAAATCGAAGACTAAAATTAGTTTCATAGAGGGAGAAGGGCTAAAGTTACTAAAAGGAGGAGGCCCAATTACCTTCAAGACATAAACAACAAAAGCAATTTCTCAAGTTAGAAACACAAAAAGACAGCAACTTAAGGGAAGCAAACAATTCAAGTCTTGACTGGAGGTCTATTTCCTACAAGCCTTCTACAAATTCAGCTCGTTCTCATTCGCCAGTGTCTTTAACGCCAATATAGACCCCTAGTGAGAAAAAAACCATCAAGGTTTTAACGAAGGGCAGCATTCCACGATAGTAATAATGAGAAACAGGCTACGAGAACAGTGGAAATTACTCGGCCCCTGGATTTCTGTGGGGTCTAAGGGCGCTTACTTGTGGATGAACTCATATCCAGACATGATGTTGCCCAGCTGATCAGACCCGCCCAGCTGGACCCGGCACCTATAATGCTGGAACAGGTGATAGAAGTCGTAAGCCTGGAGCACCTGGTAAAAGAACTCTGCCAGGCTCATGCCCTCTGCGCTCTTGAGCCGCGTCTGCACGCTCAGGCGGCTCAGCAGCGTGCCCATGCGGAAGTGGCCACCCACGGCCGCCAGGAAGTCCACCAGGTGCTGCTGCTGGTACCACGCCGAGTTGTCCAGCACGGTGAAGCTGCCCCAGGCCCGCCCGTCGGCGAACAGCTGCTGGTGGTTGGCCGCCAGGGACTCGAGCCCCCGGTGCAGCGCACGCGCGTTGGCCCGCACGCGCCCCGCGTCCAGTGCTTCGCGCTCCTTGGTGCGGCCGCTCGGGTCTCCCAGGCGCGCTGTGGCACCCCACGAGCGCGATCACATTATGGCCGGCTCGCTGGAAGTGGAACAGGCCCTGCAGCGCCAACAAGTGCCCCACGTGAAGCGAGTCCTCCGTGGGGTCAAAGCCGCAGTAAATGGTCTGGGGAGTGTAGCCCGCCGAACCACGGTCGAAGAGCTCTGGGAGCTCTACTTTCGTACCCCTCTCCGGGAAGAAGTCCTTGAACAGACCCCTAGCTTTCTGCGCCGCCAGGATCCCCTGAGCGCCTGAGTGGGCCCTGCGCAGCTCCAGGGGCAAGAAACCCGAGAGGCTAGGGGGACCAGACCTCCGGCCCCGAGAAAAGCACCGCAACATGGGCGCCGCCATTTTGCTGCAGCGCGCAGGGGACGCTGGGCATTCAGAGGTCCGGCCACACCTCCCTAGTGCCGGCCCCGGGCAACCCTTGTGGTTGCTTCTGCGCATGCCCGGGCAGGGCGGCGCTTGCGTAGTGGGCAACCCGTTATTCCACATTGCGGCCACTAATGATCCTGAAAATTTATCCACGCATTGTCAATATGCATGTCTTTATGATAATAGTTTCTACCTCAAAGGGCTGTTGTGAAGATTAAGAAAGAAAGCGCTTGGCGCATAGGAAGCACTCTGCAAATGTTAGCTTTCATTAAATGGTCATGTGAAAATAGTATGGTACGTAAGTTCTTTGAAGTATTGGTCCTACACAGAAAACTGGTCACAGAGGTGGCGAAAGGCTGTGAATTGCTTAAACGTGATGAATAGATACGGAGCTGGTGTTGGGACGTAATTTCTTTTCTTTCTTCCTTCCTTCCCTCCCTCTTTTTTTTGATTAGGAGACAGAGTTTTCATTGTACCGTTTCTCCCAAGTGGCTGAGCCTCCAGCCCCAGCGTTCATGACTGTCCTGGAGGTGGCAGTGTCTCCCAAGCTATAGTATAGAGACAACCGTTAATTAGGGATCCCCCACCCTAGGCGTTCCAGGGGGCCTTTCTCCGTTCTTCTCCGTTTTATCCTGAGGTTGCATATGCCAGGTCCAGCCATCCGCCCCTAAATGCCAAATAAAGAGGCATGGTGAAAGCAGAGAAAGATTTATTACACGGCTTGGGACATGCTGTGAGAAGAGGCAGAGTAAACATTCAGCTCGTCTTCATCCATTTTTGGGGTGCAGACATGAGTTATAAGTATAAGTAGACAAAAGAACTGGGGCAGGGAACAAAGGTATGCATAAACAGTCCCGGTCACAGGTGTGTTCTAGTTGACCATTATCTCAGTCCAAAGGCTCCCAGAGGGGTTCTAGAGACGATGTTATTGCTGTTATCATTTGAAGGGAGCAATCTGATTCCCGTGAGATGATTACTCCTGCTCCAGGGTGCGGCCTCATCATTACAGGTAATTGTCCTCATTTGGAGAAGTAGTGTGTCCTACACGTTTCACTATTTGTGGAACGTTTTAGTCCTTTGACATAAAGATGTTACAGTTCTGTCCTTTCTGGAATCCAAAGTGATTGCAAAGTGACTGTAAAGAGAATGGCTTAGAGCAGAGACAGATACAAAATGGAGGCAGGGACGCAAAGCTTCTTCTGTTTTTAGTTAATTCATGGGGCCAAGAAGGAGTCAGTGCTTTTCAGCAAAAGCAGTTTGAGAGTCTCTTAAACTATTTGTGAACCACACCTGTGATGGAGGAGGGGCAGCAAGGTGGGGCAGAGAGCTGTTGAACTGAACAATTTGCTATAGCGACCTCAGGTGATCCTAAGGCTCTGGAGCTGCGATTTCCTTTTAGAGTCATCTGAATGGGAGCAATGGCCTTCGTAAGAGACTTATGCCCTCTTATTAAACGTGGGCTCCTGGGGAGGAAGTAAAACAGTGCACAAGTCTTTTAGCTGAGGGCCATATGCAGAAAGGGACTCAGCTGTGGGCTCATGGCAAGCAACCCTCACAGAACAGGGGCTGGAACAGGGATCAGGATATGCCCCAACCTACTCCTGCAGGACTTGTCCATTTCTTTTCTTTAAATATGGAACGCTTCACGAATTTGCGTGTCATCCTTGCGCAGGGGCCATGCTAATCTTCTCTGTATCGTTCCAATTTGAGTATATGTGCTGCCGAAGCGAGCACTTGTCCATTTCTTAACAATAAGTCATTTAAATAAATAAAATATTGTTTTGATAAATTACACCTTTGCCTGTATAATTATCAGTGAACTGAATTTTTATTGCCAATAGTAACTTCAATATGAATTTTAGATACGCATTAAATAGACTGTATGACATAATCCCTAATGCTGAAGAAGATAACCAGGGTGTGTTTTTCTCATGTTGTTATTCAAAATATCTTAAAAATTTCAGTCATAGCCTGTTGATCTACAGCCTTAGGTCCCAACAGTTTGATCAGGGACATCTCAATATGTACAGTGGGAAATTCTCTTTAGTACTTAGCAGATACCATGCTTAGTACCTAACACACACAAAGACCTGGATGCACACCTATCTCTGGCTTTTAAAGATGTACTGGCAACTTTCTACCAGAACGTATGACTTCATGTTGTGGTTTGATGACCTAGTTACTTCAGGAAATCCTACTTAAAAAAATTACTTACCCAGGTCAGCATCACTTGATGGACTTCCGTAGATGATGAAAATTCTACCTGGGGTTAAATTGGATTACAAAGTCTTTTGGTCACAGATGTAAGTTCTGCCCTGTCCTTCTTAAACATCATCATATTTCATGAATGAGTAGCACCTATCAGAATAGGTGCTATGTGAGACTTAATAGCAGTGCAATGATAGCAACAATTTTGGTAAATGCATTCACATCAGTTATTTTCCTTTCATAACTTATATTGATATAATAGGGAAAATAATGAGACTTTGTCCAAAAGACAGGAGAAACAGAAGTTTGGACTTCACAGTTTAGGATTGCATCCATGGCTGACATTTTATGGAAATGTCTTCATGATTTGCACTTGGGTTATAAAAAGTTGGCCAAACTGCACCAGGTGGCTCATGCCTGTAATCCTAGCTGCTTGGGAGGCTGAGACTGGGAGGATAGTGATTCAAGGCAATCCCAGTCAATAGCTCGAGAAACCCCATCTCCAAAATAACCAGAGCAAAATTGGAGGCTTGACTAAAAACATAGAGTGCCTGCTTTGCAAGTGGGAAGCTCTGAGTTCAAACCTCAGTTCTATCAAAAAAAAAATTCAAAAGAGCTAAAATAGAGGATTTTGGATGTTCTCAATACAAAGAAATGACAAATGTTTGAGGTTATGGATATGCTAATTACCATGATTTGATCATTACATGTTGTATACATGTAATATATCTATGATACATGTGATATATCTATGAAGATATCACACTGTAGTCCATAAGCATATTTAAGTATGATATGTCAATTGAAAATAAAGACTCAATAATTGTTATTCAAACTGAAAGAAAAAGAAAAGGTAATTAAGTAGATTCTTGCTGTTTTAATTGGCTTAAAAAGTGAATGAATTTGTGTTAAAAATATTTTAGAAAATACAGTTTTTCTCACCCATAACTTGGGGCTAACTGACCTTGAATTAGGGGTGCCTCTCTTTTGCATTTACTCTTCCCTATAACAAAATACCACATAAATATTCTCTTTGGAGAGATACCTGTTTTATGTGTTTGGCTTTCCAAATGTAAAAATATTTTAAGTGTAATAGTATTCAAAAGGCACAGAAAGTGTAAAGAGCAATAGTGTTTTAGGTGGTCTCTCACAGGTTATGCCAAAGGTTTAAAGTTAGGTAGTCCTACTTAATTTTGAAGACTCTCTCTACCTATAGCACACTGTGTAGTCAGATTGCAGCTCCAATCTGTCTGGGGCTGAACTACGAGCTGTCCAAAGATCACAGCAAAATGACAGCAGAAAGGAATTGGAGGGATTCTCATCATTATACTCATACATTAGTTCGACTTGAGGGTTTTTTTTTTTTTGGCTTGGAGACTGGGAGACTGGTTTCTTCAGAAACATAAATGGTGATGTGAGATGCAGAAGAGAGTACAGGAATAGGAAGAGATATTGTACTGAACCTCAGCTCTGGCCTGCTTTCTAGCTCACAGGTTTTTATGACATTCCTATTTTCCCCTACTTGAGAAGAGAGAATAATTTTTAAAGGTTGGTGTTAAACTTTTTCTGGCTTGTATAATAATTCATAAATCAGTGTGGTTCATGACTGCATCTTCTCATGTGGGTTCACTGTTGCCATTGTTCTTAAAACCCATATTGGAAGTTCTAAAGAACCCTCCCACCAGGCCCATCCTCACCTGCAAAGCAATTGCCCTCTTTCATCCCAAATTAATTCCTACCAGGAAGTCCTCGGCATCGTTTAGGGTGGGAGGGAAAGGTGCTTTTGCTCTCCTAAAATGTATTAAAAGCTGAAATCAACAATGCTCATCATCCTCACAAAGAGGAGACTTAAATTATATTCAAAAGGTAAGTTGGGCCAGACGCGGTGGCATATGTCTATAATTTCAGGTACAAGGGAGGCACAGTAGGAGTATGGTCCAAGGCTAGCCCAGGCAAAAGCATGAGGGGCTCTACCTGAAAAATAACTAAAGCAAAAAGGGCTCAAGTGATTAAGTGTCTTCCTAGCAAGCACAAGGCCCTGAGTTCAAATCCCAGTTTGAAAGGAAGAGAGATGACATAAATTAAGTATCCTTGACATGGTATTGTTATGTAGGCCAGACTGGTCTTAAATTTATGATCCTCCCGAGTGCTGGGATTACAGGTGTAACACCACACCCTTGCTGGCTGTCATGTTTTTAAACCAGGCTAATACCCAAACATTTTTTTGAAGATGTGTTTCCTTTAATCTGCTGGTTGTAAGAGGATATTTGGAAAATGTTTTTAATAGTTAATAATAGATAGGCAATTCCTTTCTGTATTAGAATTTTAAGGGGCATACACACAAGTGTTCTTTCTTTCTGGTCTCAGAGTTGCCTTAATATATTTACCTGCTCTGTTACCTAGCTGGTTGGATGTTTTGATATATATCTTATATATTTAAAAGATATATTTCACTTTCCATTCTACCCAGTTTTGTTTGGAATCTGCTCTGTGTGTCACTGCCTTGGGGAAGTTACAAGTTAGAGAAGAATGCAAAGTAACCTGGGAACTGTGTGTGGCTTTTATTTCCAAAGGTCAAAAATCTGTGACAGAATAAAGTTTGAGGAAATAAACTTAGAGAAGCAGAAGAGAAAGCAAGAGGGGCCTCTGTTTTATAAAGAGCCCCTATCACCACCTAGCAAGGGAAGCCCTGGCTGTGGGCCCATTTGCCAAAGTTGCTGTGCATTGTCCCCAGAGAGCTGGCCCCTTGTACTCTCCACATCTGGGGC